ACGGGGGATGATGTCACAACTATAAATTTTGAGCCATGTAATCTATGCATTCAAGTACATGTGAATCAAAAACTTCAATCAAATACAAGATACAAGTACTATAAGTAGTCATCAAACAATTGGAGACCCTAGAAGTTCTTGTTAAGTCCATTTAGGACTAGGACTTCCTTATTGGATCCAAATGGACCAATGAATTTCCAAATTGGACTATCATGGGTTTAGGACCCTAATTGGGTTCTAATTGGACCCACATTCGTTTATTGCAATATTTTGGGCTAGGTAGAACCTAGAATGAAATAAAACACAAGTTTTGATCCATAATTTAACCTAACCTAGCTTAATAAAGCATAAAAATCACAATTTTATTTTATAAGGCCAATAAATACCCTAAACTACCTCTAATGTTGGGCTTAGGGGCAAAGAGCCCAATTTTTCCTTCTTCTCTCCCCATTCTCGGCCCAATGCATGAGCCCAAGAGGAAAGGAAGCATGTTGACTTGTGAGTGACACCTCACTATTATCTAATGGATTTCTAGGCACATATCACATACCTCCATGCATGTATCACTTCAAATATCACTTCCTCTCTTCTCTCTTCCCACTCTCGGCCGAATCCCCTCTCACACACACCAAAAATATCTCAAATTCTCTCTAGAACACTCAAGAACTCTCCTTCCTCCCCTCTCCAAAAATCTCGAAAATTAGGGACTTTCCAAGAGGATTTTGCAAGTAAATCATCATCTAAGGTAAGATTATGCATAGATCTATGGTTTAAATTCTTTTGTTATCAAAATCCTTTCCTAATCTATGCAAAAATCGTGATCTTGCACCCTAGAACCATCTCAAAACTCGAGATCTTCATCAAAGGGAGCCAAGGCCAAAAACACTTCATTTTTCCTTCCATTTTCCTTGCAAAACCGAATCAACACCCCAAGGTGAGCTTCATACCCCCTATTTTCTGTTTTTATGAGTTTTGTGGGGGGGAATACAAGTGAAAGTGTAGATCTATATGTGTTTGTATGCCTTGTATGATTTCCATGCTTATATGTATGCTTTTATGTGTTTTATGTTGGATCTAGCCTCAAAACTCATCAAAACCGAGATATAACTTGTGCTACATGATTTTAACTTCAAATATATTTCTAAACACAAAGTGCTTCAAGAAAAATTGGCTAAGTAGTTTAGCAATAATTTCTTTGGGTTAAAAACACAAATTTTGGGCCTAAAATGTGAAAAATGCAAAAATAAGGGCCCAAATCGACATGTCACAGATTCTGATGGATGAAGTGTGCCAAAACAGTTTTCATAAATAAATTTCTGGAAATATACTCATTTAGGGGACTAAAAACATAAATTTTAAGCTTAATGGGTTAAAAATGTAACTTTCGGCCCAATAAGGCCCATTATGCGAATTTTTCTGTTTTGGAGGGCCAAAACTGTAACTTTCTGTAAAACAGTGGACTATAAGTGTTCCAACTCCTTTTCAAAGGTTTAAAATGCTTTTTAAATTTAAAAAGGACAAAAGTTGCAAAAATTTTCCAAATTGGGCCAAAATTGTAAAATTGCGAAAAGAAGGGGTTAAAACCGTGAAAACTGCATTTTCAAGGACTTAAACTGTTTTTATGAAAAATATGTTGAAAAATATTAATTTCAATAATTTTTGGTGTTAAAATGTCAAGAAAAATAGTTTAAGGACTAAACCGGGAAGTATTTAATATAAAGTGTTGAAAATGTAAATTTTACAAATGATGAGGGGCTGAAAACAGGAATATTTCAAGGCTAGTTCAATATACCCAATTTGATCAAATGATGGCACCACGACTATCAACGGAATACAATACATTACAATACCAAAAGTCGTTGTTAAACGAATTGGCTCGGTCTCGAGCCAATAGAAATCTACAACTACTAACACTACGACACTACAATTCATACAAGTAACGTTTGGTTATACATACACATGCGAGTGTGCACAGACGTCTATGCACCATCTTTGGGCCCCACAAGTGTAAAATCTTGTTCGTTGAGCCTAGCTAGCCCAATGACCTGATCTTAAGGCCCGAAGACATTTTTTTTTTTACGGAGTGTTGGGTTTTACCGAACCGACACAACGTAAATGGACTTTCAATGGCTTGTATACCACCGGTCCCCAAGGGTCCTTTGGTCTTGCTAGTAAGGTCTACATTTCATGCGAGGCGGGTCTGGGACCCCTCGTACATTTTATCCCCAACCGGCTAATGGAGTTACCGGGGTCTTCGTGACCTCTTTCTCTTCAGATGTGGGACTTCACCTAGTCAGGGCGATTGGATAACGCGATTAGTACTGACGACGCCTTCGGAGTCGTTAGTATAACTATAAACTGGGCGTTTGTGTAACGCGGGTTTGTAGTAAATAATCCTGCTCGAAAACCTTCCAACGTCGCCTGGGACTGACACTATACGCTATGCAATGGTTTCAATGTAACATCACGTAATTCAAGGAACTAGGAGAACATCGGGTTTTCCTAGGGTTTTCAATACTTACAAATTTGAAATGCATACATTCTAAACGAACATTTTTTTTAAGTATAGAAACAAACAAGCATACCTATGGATCTTCACAAACGTTTTCGGAAACTTATCTTTTCAGAAAATATCGGATTTTCTGGTGGTTCTTCAAACAATACAAACATTCGATTTCAAACACTACTTATGAACTCACCAACATTTCATATGTTGACGTTTTTCAAAATACTTGTATTCTCAGGGAGCCAGTGAATCAAGGGAAATCATATCCAGTGACGGTTGCGGTTTATTTTTGTATGAATTGAACAACTAAATTTTTGGGGAATGTAATGTTTAAACAATGTATGATATGTAAACACTACTGGTTGTACTATGTTGATGAATGGTGACAAATGTTGTTATGTTTCATATGTATTCAATGTTATGGTATTCAATTGAGTCACGGCAAGCCCCCGGACGTTTCCGCCGTCTGGTTCGGGGGTGTGACAGTTGCTATGATATGTATTTCGGACTTCAGTCCGATGTTGGGCAGGGACCCGATGTTGAACTAGTCCGATGTTGGGCGGGGCCCGATGTAGTGGGCAAGGCCCAGTATGTGTTATTATATGTATTTGTATGGTATGTGGTAGTTTGGTGGAGCTCACTAAGTTTCGTGCTTATAGTTTTCAGTTTTGGTTTCAGGTACTTCCACTAGCAAGGGGAAGGGCTCAGGATGATCGCATGGCACACACCGTAGTTTCAGCTTAGGATTGGTTTAGACTCTAATATTTTCTTTTTTGATTTCGATACATTATTTGACATGATGTTTTGAGATACATGGTTCTTGATTTTCTTTATGACGATGGATGCTTTATGGTTTTATTAATGATTTTAAAAACGAAACTTTGAGACTATATTTTTGGGATGTTTAAAAAGGACATGGAAAAAACAAGCAATAATGTGTCCCAAATAACTCCAACAATAAGAAAATGAATTGGTTAATTGGAGGTGCTTCAATATGGCACATTTCAAGTGTAATTATCGTGTGAATTTTGGCAACAATGGTGCTGCTAATAGTGGATCCAATGGAAGTGGAAATCTATCTCAGGACTAACTTCATTATGTTTCACTTATTCTTAAATCATTCTATATACAAGATGATGATATTTCTTGTTGGATTGATTCTAGCACAACAAACCATGTATGCAAGGATGAACGGATATTTGAAACATAAACACCGCCTAAATATGGATATGTGTTGTGCATCACAGAAGATTCTTTTAAACCTAATTTTGGGTTTGATGTAGTTAATCTTGAATTTACTTTTGGAAATATTGTTATATTTTTTGAATTTTTGTTTGCTCCTAAGATTTGAAAGAATCTTGTTAGTATTAACAGTTTGAATTTTGATGGTTTTAAACAAGTTTATGAATCAAATAGGTATATCCTATCTTCAGGTGGAATTTTTATTGGCTTTGGTAATTTGAACAATAGAATGTTTCATTTGAATGTTTTCGATAATTTATTACCTAATCAAAATTTTGCATTTGTGTCATATCCTTCTAAAAATGATGGATCTATGTTTTAGCATGCTAGATTGGGTCATGTTAATTTTATAATGATGCATGAAATGTTAAAAGAATGTCCAATTCCAACAATTGACATGAATCTGGAAAAATGTAAAACATGCGTGCTTACAAAAGTTACAACATAGTAATTTGCAACTTTTACTAGAAATTCGGCTATTTTGGAACTTATACACACTGAGCTGTCTGATTTTCACTCTATTGCTTCCTTAGGAAATAAAAAATATATTATGACATTCATTGATGAATGTAATCGGTTATGCTATGTGTATTTTCTTAATGCTAAAAATAAAGCATCAGCAAAGTTTAATATATACAAAATCGAGGTGTCATTGCAATTGGGCAATCCGGTTAAATGTGTTAGAACTGATTGAGGAGGTGAACAATGGTATACTCAGGTATTTCTTCGATAAAAACAGTGCCTACAAAATAAACAAAAATATGAATTTGGTTTTGTTATAATCCGGTGCATGTGTGTCCATTGTAAAAGTCTTCAACCCTTCCTTTTGTCATTGATCGCTTTAAATTCCGATGCTTTAGATTGGTTCATTGGTTCTTCGATTAATAATGGTTCTCTATTGATCTTTTCCATATATATATATATATATATATATATATATATATATATATATATATATATATATATATATATATATATATATATATATATATATATATATATATGGAAAAGATCAATAGAGAATATATATATATATATACACAAAGAGAGAGAGAGAGAGAGGTATGTTTCATTGAGATTAAAAATAAAATAGAGATCTTGAAATTCAACCTCAGTCATATATTTAACATATGCCGCTCTAACCTCCGGCGTACTAGCGCGACAAGTTGTTATAATTATAAATGATTATATAGCACCGCCCGTTCCATTCTCCCCTCACACTAGCTGACCCCACCAGTATCACCTCCGTCACTTATACCATCACCACCTCTGTCACCACCACCTCTTCTGCCACCAACTTTAATAATCATTTATGATTAGTCAGCATGTGAAGATACATATATCTATAATCATTTATTATTAGGCATATACATATAAACATGCATAATCATATATATTATACTTCTCTATCATATAATCATTTATGATTAGGCATACCTTGTTGTTGTCGGTACGCTCGAGCATTAGAGCGGCAAATGAGAAATATGTGGCTGAGGTTGAATCTCAAGATCTCTACATTTTTTTAATCTCAAGTGACCCCCTCCCCCCCCCCCCCACACACACACACACACACACACACACACACATATATATATATATATATATATATATATATATATATATATATATATATATATATATATGGGCATAACCACTATAAAATACAATTTGGGATAGCAATATACATCATAATAACAATATACACTAACACTTTTTTCAACCATTATTTTTACTGTTGTTATTAGCAAGTTTAACCACAGTGACATTTTCATGGTCACTATACATGTCACTAATTGGATAAATTAATGACGACTTTCATGATCAGTACCTATGTTTAGAGATGGAATGAGTCGTTACAGATATAATGACGACTATACTTTAGTCACTATCTAGTAAGAACTTATATATTTTGGTCTTTAATTAGTTTAGTGGTGGGCCAATACTACGAAAAATGACAACCAAAATATTGGTCATTAATTCATTTAATGACTACTATTTTTCATGTTAGTGGCCACATCATTTTTGTCACTAATTAGGATTTTTCTTATTGTGTATGCTTAAAGCTCATGTGCATAGTGGAAATTGGTTGCCACCATAAACACTCAAGACCCAAAAGCCACTTCTAGTAAAATGATACCATAGCTTCACATGTGGTTATGAATCAATCTAATTTCTTTTAACAATAGTGGATACACACATAATCTTACACTTACTGCCCTTTCCTTAAGCTCGTAGGCAAGTTTTAGGTATGTATTCATTATAACTAGCGGAAAAACTCGGGCTTCGCCTTGTGTCATTTTTTGTGTTTTTTATTTAAAAATGTAAAAGTGAAAAAAGTTATCAATTCCTTAAATTTTTGTGGCCAAAATGGCTAAAGAATTGTAGGGGTTGGAATTAGCTAGTTTTTAGAAAAGTGAAAAAAGTTATCAAGTCCTTAAATTTTGTGGCCAAACTTTGAATATTAACAGGTTCCTAAAAAATGTAAAATTCTTTATTAAAATGACCAAAAATGTCAAAATATCTAAAAAAATGAGGGACAAAGTTAACAAAAACATACAAGTTTATTATTCATAAGGAACAAAGTTTTATTATATATATATATATATATATATATATATATATATATATATATATATATATATATATATATATATATGGTCGAAAAGAATTGTATACGGTAAAAACCAGAACAAATTCATCTTATTACATGTAATTCATGTGTAATCATAATTAAGAGAACCTAGATGGGTCTAACCTCAATGCCTTGCACAATGAGCCCCTTAAGAAAAGCATCATTAGAAAACGTCAATCTACAATTCCATGTAGATTCCCATAATTGTACTTCCATCCAGCCATCCTTCTTTTGTTGTGGAAGACCTTTCTTTTTGGGGCTATTCAAAGTGTTGTGACTATTGTGATAAGCCTTACTTTTAATAATTGGGATTTGGGGACAAAGTAAATAGATATACCATGAACAATACCAATCATTCACGACTATTGGAGACTCAAAACCAGAATGGTTTTCTTGTATTTTGTAAACAAGGTAACCTGAAAATGTTCTCCAAGAGGTCTTCATTCTGGACGTGCAGTTTATCAAAAAGCTGCTAGGAGGATCATAAGCCACTTCTCCAAATCTACATAAAGATGGTGAGAGTTAGTATTTTTTTTTCATAAATACGTTGTGTTTAATGGACATGCTAGAATATGACAACATATTCGTCTAAAAGGATTTAAAAAGCTGCAATGGTTACATGTACTATAAGAATATCCACAATACATAGTTTAATGGCATGGTTGAATGTGGTGAAATGGCTAATTGGCATTTAATGGATTAAACTCAATCACAAATGGATACTACATTGGCGTTTGATGCATATGAAGTTCGATGGCCAATGGAAATTAGTAGTTTTCTATTCGGTAGTTAACAATCTTAAAGGTGTCTATACCCAAAAATATTTACCATAGGGACATGGCTACAAGAAAACAGGTTTGGAGATAGAGGAAAGAACCTTGATTCGGGTGAGGACTGCCATCTCCACTCCCCTTTTTGCAAAGACGATCTTGGTGAGAGCATATGAAGTTTCTTCCCACTTTTTGTCATAGAAAACCACTGTCAAGGATACATGTGTAAGTAACTGTTTTGGAGTTCTTGAGTTCTCCCCTCTTTAACGGGTCGTAGAACCATGTAGATATGAGAAATAAGTGATTAAGAATGTCTAAAATGACAGGGATGAATCATTCATATAGGATATACCTCTTCACCATCATCAATGGGGAATCCTTTGCAAAAAATAGAGTAGAGTTCCTTCATTGTTGTCCATCGCATAATATATTTGGAGCTGTTGATTATTTCTTTATAATCACTAGGCCATTTTCGTTCCCAGTATCTGTCTTCATAATCACTAGGAAACTTTTGTTTCCAATAATTTATGTCTGTAAGTGACATGGTTTGCATATTGACCTCCTCATTCTCTAGTACTTGATACTCCACCTACAAATTTACACTTTAGACTTCTATCGATTATGGAAGAAAACTCGTAATCTCTAGATGTGTCCTATTGAAAAGTTTTCCCCACAAATTAAGTAGGTGGACCATAGGGGTTCTCTTAGATTAAGAAAACTCATCTATTTACTAAGAATGATTCAAACAATAAAAACCACATAAACAAAATGGTATAAAGGAAAAAACAGGAATTTGTCAGCTTACTCTCTCCACAGGTAGAAACTCAATGCCTTCTACTGCCAATGGAGCTCCACATTCAAACGTTATGTCAAAATCAATTCTCCTCTTGTCGATAGTAAAGTGATACAATTCAGCCATCAACCATCCATCTTTTCTTTCATCTACTAAGTACACAGTTGATGATTTTGTCTCCCCAGCTAATATGTAATTGATGCCAAGATAGTTGTGAATTGGGTAGTCAAAATCGAACACAAGATTTACTGTATATGTGATATGTGGCGACAAAAATTGTGTTCTGACTTGTAGTTTGGATTTATAACAATATGGTATAGAGTAGTCCACATTAAATCTGCAGAAAGATGCAACAAAGAATACGCTATTATATATACTTATCAAATAGTCTACAAAACTAGAAACAAAACGGAGGACAGCTAGCTAGTAATTAACCTTGATTTTCTTCGACAATAATTTTTGGGAGATGCAGGTTTAATAGGGATTAAACATCCTGCTGCCGATATCATTTCACAATGTTCTCCATTCTTATTCAACCAAAAACGCTGTCAATTAAAGATCGCTATCAAGTTAGTTGGACTGATGTACTGAATGAGTATATGCTAAGAAGAGAGATTTTCTTTGTTTTCGAAGTTATAGTGCACTTGTGTCAACATCTAAAAGTAAAGGGAAATCAAATACATGAGCGTTGGTTTGTTAATAGAGATATCGATAGATGGATTTTAACGTGGATACTACCCTTAATTAAGGTATAAATAACATTTTATAAATCACATTTCCACAACCACGAAATAATTATATATAATAAAAGGGATTTTCTAATATGTGCCCTAAGGGCACATATAAGAAGCATTAATTGATGATATATATTACCATAATTAATTATAAAATACATTAATAATAAGAAATATTACCATAATTAAATGTGAAGTGCATTAATAATTTCCATAATAAATGTATTTTGAATTTAATTATGGTAATATTTTTCATAATTAATACTTCTTATATGTGCCCTTAGGGCACATATTAGAAAATCTCATAATAAAAATCTAAAGTTGTTGCTAGACATAGACATATATATATAATTACCGTTTTGCCCCCATTAACTAAAATTCCTTTGGAGAGAATCATCTTTAGTTTCTCTTCGGATGTGTAGACCACAGGGGTTGTCGCACTCTTAATTAGCTCTTTATAGTCGATCTCTTGATACTCTATCGAAGGTTCTTCAGAAATCTCCTGCAACCTAAGCGCGATTTCAAGTTGTTCAACAACATGAGACATCTTTGGCCTATGCTCACGATATTCCTGCAAACATTGATAGGCAATTCCTGAAAATGTTTCGAGTGACCTTGGATCCATGTCTTTCTTCATATCTTGAAAGATAATATCATCTAGTTTCTTTTGCATGTAGCTTTGTTTCCACCTTTTCACAAAGCTCACAAAACTACCATTGTTATAATAAAAGGATAGTCTCCCAGACAGGACTTCAAATAAGACTACTCCAAAAGAGTATACGTCAGACTCTTTCGTTAGAGAATATGTATGCATATATAGCGGATCTATATACCCAGGGGTTCCTACAACATTGGTGGCAAGAAAGGTGTGCTTTTGATTAGCGGGTCCAATTTTCGAGAGTCCCATGTCAGATATTTTAGCGTTCCAGTTCTCATCAAGGAGAATGTTGGAACTTTTTATATCTCGATGGATAACTCGTTGATGTGTCTGTTTGGGTTCATGTAGGTAGCACAATCCTCTTGCAGCTCCAAGGCATATCTTGAGACGTTGCCTCCATGTGAGAGTATGGCTACTTAAATGGCGATCAAGGCTTCCATTGGATGCGTGTTCATACACAAGGATTTTCTCACCATCCTCGTTGCAAAATCCCAAGAGAGAGATGAGGTTTTCATGTGTATAACGGGAAAGCATCAGAATCTCTTTCAAGAACTCTGGATCTCCTTGCCCAAGTCTACGATCTAGACGCTTAAAAGCAACTATCTGTCGCCCCTTAGAGTGAGAGTATAATCCTTTGAACACCTCCCCAAATCCACCTTTACCGATAATGTTGCTATTATGAAAGTTGTTGGTAGCTGACTTTATCTCTTCTAGTTGGATTTTAAGATGTTGAAACTCCTCCAAGAAGGACTCCATATTTTTTCAAACAATAACTCTACTTGATTAGAAAGAAAAACAGAAAATAAAACTATAAGGCCAACAAGTTCTGTAAACGAAAAGTTGATCGAATGGTGTTTAGACTTTAGGTTATGAGAAAGAGAATTGAAATAGTGTTTGATATCACGACTTCTAACATTGCCTTGTATAAGAAAATCAGAATTTCACACATTTAAATTAATGTCCCAATAATTGAGAAATTGCTAGCTGGCCACCATAACCCATTAGCTTTTAGGGGAATTTATAAAAGTTCTTTTGTTTTTTTTGGTCAATTATTTTCCTTATATCTGATAAATAACGACAACATATTTTCTCAAATATACTTCTATTTCCACTTAAAGAAAGTGTTTATACATTTTTACCCTTTAAGTTTATTGGAAATAAAAAAAAATATATCATCTAGTAAGGCTAGAGGGGTTTGTGCGGTTTTTTTTTTTTCCTGATCGACTTTAAAATAATTGAATTTTTGTTAACTTTTTGATACAAAATATTATTATAACACTTTTAAAAACTCAGGAGCGGACGCAGAAATATGTAGGAGTAGGTGCACCAAAAAAAAGTTTCGATCAAATGTAATAATTTTAAAAAAATTACGAGCGCATTAAATATAACAAACTAGTGTAGACAAACTTTCTGAATGACAAACTGGTCATTTCATTGGCATGTTGTTGGACTTGTGGGAGTTTATTACCGTGTTGGTACCATCATCACAAAATGTTGCTTGCACAAGATACTATAAAAGCTACTAATGCAAAATAACTCGACATATTCCATTGTTTAGAGCAAAATATAATACACAAATGTCAACTAATTAATGCATTTTTATCAATTCAATATTTTTTTTCTTGACAGAACAAACAAATCAAATCAATTCAAAATGTAGAATGAAACATAAATTGAGTTGAACAACTTAATGATGTAATTGTGAAGAAAATCCATTGTTTAGTTTGAAACAAATGTAATGCATCCATGTATATGTGTAACTCGTATATGGAAGAAAATTTAAAAGATAGGACCTAAAAGATAGGACCCCGGTTACATGAGACTAAGGTAATTACTTTACATATATATGATTTTGTTGGCTACAAAATTTTTGAAGCCCAATAACAAAAGGTGCATTAAAAGGAAAATTGAAAGTAAATTTAATATAGAAAATTGTTTTAGAATTGAACTCGAGCACTCATTAAAACAAGAAGCTTAACTTGCGCCCTTTAACCAACTCAACCACCACTTTGATCAAAACTTTTAAACTACCATGCTAATATTAAGTATTTTTATGCATGCACATTTATATAATAATATTAAACTTTTTTATACTAATACAAAAAAAAATGAGTAGTTGCATGTGCAATCCCATGCACCACTGTAGATCCGCCCATGTAAAAACTTGATATATTTGATAAAATTCAATAATTATATCATTTATAATTTTTAATTTATATAAAATTGTTGCGCATTGAAAAATATCATGGTTCGCCAAGGCTTTTCATAGCTTAATTTTGACTTTGCCGCTAAATTCAAACCTTGTGTTATTTAGAACGTTGATAAATACACACTTAAACCTCAATATTTCATTACAAACAATATCATTATTTCTCTCAAAACATTTCTCAATTTTTTAAACATAACATGTCTTCACCTAATCAAATATAAACCTCAAAAAGAAATAAGAAAAAATCTTCATACTCCAACAACACCTTTTCAACAAGCCTTTTATCATCAATTTGTTATCGACTTTCATTCGATCAACCAATCTATTAACCGCAAGTTATCATTTTTCGGCCATAGCATTATATTTGTATTCACTTCCTCATCAATATCCTTCTCAATCCCAATTCATGAAAATGCTCCAACCTCAAACAAAATTTCAATCCTAACCCATACCATATTTCACATCTGTACTCGATCCAAATCTCGAATTGGAGCCTTTTGAGTAATTCATTTTAGACAAAAGTGCAAAAAGATCCATATATAGTATATATATATTTTTTTAGGTTTAATCCAAACTTCGAATTTTTTGGTTTCATGGTTTTTTTGGCCATGTTTTTATGTGCAAACCGTCACTCCGAAAATTGAAATGACTAAATTGTCCTCTTGATATATATATATATATATATATATATATATATATTGTTTTTTTCTATATAATTTAATGTCTTATTAATAATAAAATCGTCACCCAATAAATGCCTTTACTCCTTAATCCATCATCTCAAACAGCTATCATGCCTGCTTGTTTCTGATCATCTTAGTTCACACTTGGAATTAAGATTAGGGTCAAAAGAAAATGCTATAGGTGGATGTCGATAGAGACGATGATAAGTAGAGAATGACCGGAGGCTAATTATAGAAGCACTACGAAAATTGATAGGAAAAAAAAAAAAAAAAGACTTTCACGTGTAAAAGTTATCTTCAGAGTATAACAAGGGGAATGAAGAATGAATCAGATTCATGTAGTGATTAAAGAACAAAGAACCATTTGAAATCAGCTTGTTGGGAACAAAAAAAACCTAGATAACTCAAAGAAAAAACAGATCACTTTGCAAATAGAGGTAGGAATCATACTTGTTTCACAAAGCAAAAAATTTAACCCGCATGTGGATGTCTTTGAATTTAGTAGTGATTTAGCTAAACACACCAGGTTGCATTACACCAATGCTAAAGAGAAAGATACATAACTTTTTCACAATTTTCGGCGCGCACACACACAGAGAGATGAAAAATAAATACCCCAAGGGTATTACAGTCATTTCAATATTCGTAGGGACCAAATATGCAACGAAACTAGCTCAAACAATCCATCAATCCAAAAAAATCGGGGTTAGGACTAAAATCCAAAAAAAAATGCATACCACAGGGACCATTTTTGCAATTTTGTCAAAATAAATCTATATTTATGCACAAATTTGGTTGAATGTACAGAAGGAAGCAAAGTCAATTAGATGGTTTCTGATTCTTCAAGGCAAACAGAAACACCTCCATCCATGAAATTTAATCCTCTCTCTCAAATTCCACAAGCCTGCATCCAAGTAGTGAATGAAAACAATTACAACTATTTTCATAATCACTGAAAATCCCATATATCATTATTCATTAAGGCATTTTGCTTTGAAGAACTTGAAAATTATAGCATTATACTTTCAATTTTTCCTTCTTAAAGAACACAAATACATACACAAATTTATAAAAAACATACATATGATTAAGCAAGATTCTTACCTGAAAAAGCAATAGTATTGGCATTAACCAATCACTATCATGGCTCCTGATATGATAATCATTTGGAAGCTCAATCCTGAATTTTGTTTATAAAAACAAAACAAATTTAGAAACTCATGTAAAAGAAACATTAAAAAAAATATATATTATTCATGTATATGATGTTATCTATCAACAGTTATATATAAATGATAAAGCTTACTTCTTGAGATAGACTTTGCAGCATTCCTTGTTTGTTCTTTGGAGTAATCTCAAGATCTTACACTGCAGCTATAAAGGAAATAACCTACTTATGAATGTCAATTATCCTGTCTATATAATTTTAAAATGAAAAGAATTACAAGTTCTTGAAGAAACAAAGTGAACAAAAAAGAAGTGTGTATATACATTCAAGTTTCATCCACTTATGAAGTACTTTTTTTTATAAAAGGAATATCATTCTAAAAATCTCATCTACAAAAATTGAGAACCTATTACCTACCATTTTATCATTCTTGATTTTTGGCTGATTTCTGATTCCACCCATGAATTAGAGTAGTGTAAGTTATTTCATCTAAATCTACACCTCTTTGAGACATTTTATCAAACAGTTGGAGGGCATCTTCAATCCTCCCTTCCTTTGAAAACCCCTTAGCCAGTGTATTATACGTAACAACATCAGGAACAATTCCCTTTTCTTTCATCTCTCCAAGAAGCTTCACAGCTTCATCTGTTTCACCAAGTCTGCAATACCCATCCATCATAACTGTATACGTGATTTTATTAGGGTTTATCCTATATGAACACATTTCCCCCAAAATTGCTTCCACTTTATCCATCTCCCCAATCTTACAATACCCATTGATTAAAGCAGTATAACACACAACATTTGGTGATAAACCTAATTCCCTCATTTCATCAATCACAAGCTTTGCATCTTCAACACATCCGATTTTGCAGTGTCCATCGATTAAAGAAGAATAAGTTACAGAAGTCGGTTGAATTCCTTTACTTTTCATCTCATTACAAACCCTAATCGCCTCTTTCATATCACCCATTCTTGTGTATCCTCTAATTAGGGAATTATAGATAAAAGAGTTGACTTCCATTTTCTCGTTGACTATCTTGTTAAAAAGATCTTTTCCTTTTTCGATTTCTTCACATTTACAAAACCCTTCGATGATAACTCCATATGTAGAAACATCAGGAGTCAAACCTTTAGTTTTACACTTCTCAAAAAGCATCAAAGCTTCATCCATCTTACCCTTTTGACACAACCCATTTATCAACGAAGTGTAAGTCGAAATATCTGGTGAAATTCCCTTTTTACCCATCTCTTCACTTAATTGAAAACCTTCCTCAAATCTCCCCTCTTTGCAATGCCATGAGATCAAAATGTTGTATGTAGATCTATCAAAATGTAACCCTTTTTGTAACATTGTTGTAAGAATCTTTATAACCTCTTTTGCATTTGAAGATTCACAAAGACCATGAATAAGGGCATTTGATGTTATTATATTTGGAAAAAAACGTTTTTCAAGTAGTTTAAACCAAAGATTAACTGCTTCTGAATGTTTACCATGATTACAAAGACCAGTAACTATCATAGTCAACAACTTATCATTTGGCTTTAAATCTCTTAACAACATTTCATGAACATATCGAAGAGCAGAATCCATTTTTGAAAGCTTACAAAGCCAATGAATAATGGAAGTAAAAGAACCCACGTTTATTGTTAAACTAATCGATAGCATTTCCTCCAAAAGCTTTTCAGCTTCTTCAAATTGATTACAATTGCAAAATCCCTTGATGAGAGTATTCAAAGTGACAGAATTTGGATTCAATCCCTTTGATGACATGTCATTTCTAATTTCAATTGCTTTCTTCATGTCACCTTGTGTACAGTATCCATCTATCAAAGTATTATAAACAACCTCATTTGGGAGAAAACCATTGGAGGTCATTTCAGTTAAAACACTCTGAGCTTCATTGTAGTTTTGAGCTTTCAATAACCCGTTGAGAAGAACACTATATGTATTAAGACTAGGAGTTACACCTTTCTTGATCATCTTTTCTTTGAGGTGAAAAGCTTCTTGTAAGTTCTGATTCTTGCAAAGACCATGAATGATGTTATTGTAAGTTACAACATTTGGGGAAACACCAATTTCCTCCATTTGTGAGAATATGGCCATGGCTTCTTTGATTTTGTGGTCTTTACAAAGGGCGTTAATGGCTGTTGTAAAGAGATAGACATCTGGTTGAACACCTCTACGTAAAATGTTGAAGATCTCATGGGCTTTTTGAAGGAGGTTTGACTTCACGAGAGAAGTCAAGAGAAAATTACAAGTGTTTAATGATGGAAACAAGTGCTTTTCGGCTATTAACTGGAGTATATCTGAAGCAGGAAGGAGGCCAAACGCTTTGAATTGGGTACAATAAACATGAATCAACAAATCAAATGTTGGAAGGGGAAGTGCGTCTGATGTGAAATGGAATTCCATAAATAAAGTGGCAATTTCGATGTGTTTGGTTTTGGGATCATGAAGTAACACAGGGAGTTTATCGTCGATCAATTGAATCAAAAGTAATCTAGCTGGGGATTCCAGTTTTGAACCAACAAGCAAATGAATCAACAAACAATAAGACTTAATACTGAATTTAAATCCGCAAGACCTGGAAGCAAAGTAAAAGAAATTCAATGCGGTTCGTGGTTTCACAGAATACCTAATATCGCAGAAAACACTATCGAACTGCTGTGGAGACAAATGTGTGACTATATCTTTACATTTAGACGAATCTAAAGATGGGTTTGATAGAATTGAAGTTACCCGTTTGATCAAATCCTGATTCTCAAGCTGCAATGGGGGGGTTTTGGGCGATGGCTTTGAATGGTTATGCTGGGTAGAGGCTGATTGAAAGGGGTTCCTCTTTAAGGGTGAGAATTTGGAGATTCTGAGCCTCTTTAAATCCATTAAGAGGCAGATGTGATTGGAAGAAGGTTTTTGTCGATGAATTCGTGAAGGAAAAGCTTCATTTTGGTGATGTTGTTGAAGAAGGGGGTTGTGGTGGCGATGGTGCCATGAGTTTTGGTGCGTATGAGAAAGGGCCACGAGATCTCGGTAGCGGGTTTACTATTTGGGGTGATAAACCGCAAAACCCTGGTGTAGGGTTTGGGCGGAGGAAGCCAATCAAGACTGTTTAAGCCGATGTAGCAGCCAGCCACTTTGGTGTTTTTTTGATTTGGCAAAATGGCAACTCGGAAGGTGAGAAAAGTTTAGGATTTGGGTTTTACACTTATTATAAATTTTTTTAATCTAATATAACATTTCTAGGTTTCATTAATTTTAACTTTAATACAACTAATATAATAAAATATAAATTAATACAGAATTATATGTTTCGGTGACAATATTTTTTCAAAATATACTAATCTTATACCTATCGAAAACGTTATATATCGGGTTTATACAGTTTCATTCTATGCATTAGTAGTCCATGTGGTTTTTCTTTTATAATTGATTTGAAATTATAACTCACGTCATATTAGATTTTTTTGTTTTAAAATAATCATTTATTTATAAAAAACACATAAACTTATATCGCCATCATCCCAAACCCATTAACCCTAAAATTCATTACTCGTCTATTTTTTTTAGAACCAGCTACTGCACCACCACCACCATTGCCTACAACACCATCCCGTCACTCTCTCTCTCTCTCTCTCTCTCTCTCTATATATATATATATATATATGTGTGTGTGTGTTTGTGTATGTGTGTGTGTAATGCTTGTGTTCCATATATTTTTCATAAAGGTTCACAATATACAGTTGTGACAACCCGAAATTTATTCCGTTATTTTTAACCCCTTCTTCCGTTAATAAGCCTCGTTTTATTTAACTGTCCGTTAACTTTTGGACTCGTTAAATTATGTGGGACTTTTATAATGACTTGGTAAGGGTTGAAACAAATTAGAAACACCCACAAAATGCCCTTGAAAATGTTTAGTGTCAACCAAGTCAAAATTCGACCACTAAATCGGGTGCGACCAAAAGCCCCGTTTAACAGCAGTATCGAGTAGATTTCCACTGAGTCCCAACTCAAACCCCTATATAAGGGTGAGTGGAATCCATTAGAGACTTTTTCACTCACTCTCCACTCTCTCTCTACAACTTGTTTTCGAGCCAAAAACGTTCGTTTCGAGCCCCAAACGAGTAAGCAATCTACCCTAACTCGTTGTATAGCTTAACTAACATACAAATTCGTGTTTAAAATATCAAATAGGGGTAAATTCATGTGTTTACGGCCCAAGAACACTCTTGGACCGTGAACACCATTAAATGGGATTTTTAAGCCCCAAAACCCCTCCAAAATTCCCCTAAGGCTTAGATATGACTTGTGGACTTACACCTTCGGACTTAGAACACCTTGAACTATAATTTTGGAGAGTAAACTTGAGTTTACTGCCCAAGAACTTGCTTGGGCCGTAAACTCCTCTTCATGGGGAGTAAACTCAAGTTTAAGTGTTAGAAATGCCCCTAAACACCTCCTATGGCCTTGGAAAAATGTCTAGAAGCAATTCCACGAATGTAAATGCTTTAAACATTAAAGAAACCAAGGAAATAGGAGTTTACAGCCGTAAACCCCCCTAGGAAAGGTCCATGGGCCGTAAACTCCTAAATGGTGCCCAAATGATGCCCTAAACTCCCCATTTCACTTAGAAAAATGCATAGAACTTTATTCTCTACCATTTAAGACCTCAAAACACAAAAGGAAAGAGTGAGTAGGAGTTTATGGCTGTAAACTCCATGTTTATTTCCGTAAACTCCCAAAAATGGTCCATGTGAGGCCTTAAACCCTTCATAAGCCCTAGATTTGAGTCTAGCCTAATTACTTGAGTGATATAAGATATTTTTGCATCCTAGAACACCCTCACCATGAGTTTACGGCCGTAAAATCATGGGGAGTTAGTCCCAGGGCCGTGAACTCTATAAAGAGTTTACTCTTGAAGAGTAAACTCCCTATCTAAGCCATACACACCCTTAAATGTTACCCGGGACACTCCAAGCACTTAATCAAAGTGTTTTCCGCACTTTAGGATGCGTATTCATGTTTAATTAGTATTATATTTACTAATTGTATGTAAACATATGTCATCATATGTTAATAGGTCACTAAGTGTGTTCAAGTCTTTACTTGACACCGAACGCCCAACCGACACCTTCGTCGGATCCACTTACATCAGGTGAGTTCATACCCCTGAATTAACCATTTAAATGTTTTTACATGCTTTTAAGGGGGGGGGGGATACAAGTTAAACATGCCAATTATCATATCAATCACATGTGATTGATAACCCTCATGTACAAGGATTTATTACATTGTTAACTGTTTTACCAAGTATGATACTGTAAATTGTCTTCCAAAACATCTTTATTTGTACAAAGCTTTTCTCAAATTGTTTCTCACATTGTATGTTTTACTTAAAATCCTGTTACGGCAGTATGTTAAACAAAGGATTTCTTTACTCAAAATGTTTTATCAAAGTTTCGTTCGAAACTTAAGTATAAAGGTTTTTCCAAAGTTTTTCACCGAAGTTTTCTTCCATGTTTTTATACTCCTACTTTGTTAGATACTACTGCTTTGTTATACTTCCTCGTAGTTAATGCTACTACTTTGTTAACGCTTATACTTCACGATACGCTTTTACTTCACGATACGCTTATACTTCACGATACGCTTTTACTTTACGATTCACTTATATTTCACGATTCACTTATACTTCACGATACGCTTATACTTCACGATTCACTTATACTTCACGATACGCTTATACTTCACGATACACTTCTACTTCACGATTCACTTATACTTCACGATACGCTTATACTTCACGATACACTTCTACTTCACGATTCTCTTATACTTCATGATACGCTTATACTTCATGATACGCTTCTACTTCACAATACACCCCTATTCGTTAACTCTTATACCTTGTGAAACACTCCTACTTCGTTAAACACTTAAACTAAGTTAAATGTATGCCTATGCTTGTATAGTTATATAAATAATGTTTAAAGGACTTAGGAAGGCTAGTTCGCCCTATTTCCTTTTCTTCGTTGAGATGTGGTCTGGTGGGATCGAATACCCTTCTAAAGGTCGTTTGATCATTAGTTATACATAATGTATATAAGCATAGACATATAGGTTTACATTAGCCAGTTCAGTTGTGAGTCTCTATCATTAGTCTAGTATTTCACATCAGATCTCACTACACGAGATACATCTTCAGTACACGGTCTTCTCCATTGTCAGGATAGTAACCAGAGTCTCTTGTAGGGAGAGCGGACATTGTATGTATAACTATATGGTATTGACACCCCCGCACCCAGACTGCTAGCTACAGTCCATGGCCTACCAAGCCAAAGGGTGACAAATGTCATATTCATACTGACGCTTGCAGGGCGTCAAGTTCTCTAGTGTTTATCAGTATGGTTACGAGTATCTCGGGGTTACCTTATAATTCATGGCCTTAAGGTAACGGGTTTTAACATTGTATTCACTGTATTTAGACCTTGCTAGACGTATCATTCATTTGATACTATCTGGGGTCTGTGTTCACTGTTTTTAGACCTTGGTAGACGTATCTTTCATTCGATACTCTCTGGGGTCTGTGTCTCCTTTTTTGTTAGACTGAATCAGGCGTACCGTTCATTCGATACTCCCCCGGGGTCTATGATTTCTTTTGCCTTAGTCAGCAGTCTTCACTACTGAGGCATATGTTATTTTCCTTGATATTCTCCTACTTTCTTTCAAAATCAATACCATATTTTGATAATGATAGTGTTTAGGAAAAATTACTTTTTACCACATAACTCTGTCCAGTCTTGGTAAAAGACTGCTTTTAATTAGAAAATATAGGATTTTCTGGAAAGGACTCTAATTCACTGTATACTTTAAAACTACTACTCATATAAAGTTATTTGGATAAAATGACACTAAATACTTATGAACTCACCAGCATTTGTAAAAATGTTGATACTCGCTTTTCAAATAACGTGTATTCTCAGGTCAGCAATAGACAGGTACATCCCCGGAGCTTTTGATGAAGACAGTTTAGTACCAAGCTGCACCTATATTATTACTTGTATTACTTTGAAGTTTCTATGTAATGTAAACCATGTAAAACTATTACTATTAATGCAATGGTTGTTGTACTTTGATTACTATACTGCATATGTGTGATACTTGACATGACATCATCCACCCCAGAACGTTTCCACCGTTCTGGTTTTGGGGTGTGACAGATTGGTATCAGAGCATTGTTTATAGTGAGCTAAGTATATAAATTCATAAAAGATATACAGCCTATAAATACATAGGGATAAAACACTCTAACCAAGAATTATACTTTGAAATATAACCATATTTTACCAAAGTATAAGGACATACAGAATCTAAACACTCGAACACAAGTATCACAGGAAGAACAAGAATAAAAGTCTTCGGATGTTGAGCACTATAGTCAAACCTGGGCAGTTATGTAATCGTAAGCTGGAATAAATGTAACCTGATCAACTACATTTATTCGAGATGTGATGAACGTGTGCCTGGGAGTGATAGTGGTGTTCCAACAGGTCTGAAACTTACCAACTAGGAATGGTAGAGCCAAACATAAAGTTTAAAATACTATAGGAGTATTTTGGAATACTAAAAGACTCACACTAACCCCAGAATCATATTCTGAAGATAGGAAACAAACAAGAAATTAAAATATCATAGGGGTATTTTAGGATCCATAGATAACCTTGTGTGAAAAACTAAAAAGATCCTTATTGATATACCTACAATTACAGAGAGTATACTCCCAAGGTTATATATAATAAGGATCCCATAGGCTAAGAATGTGTGGTTTCGCTCTACTTCCTTTTCCGTGTTTGGATGTGGATATAAAGTAGTATCACATATTC